TTCCTACTCTTCCAATGGCTGTTTTATTCATCTGTGTGTACATGCAAATTTTATGCAATTGCAACTAATTAATGGAGTAAGATTTAACTGAGTGACACTCAGATGTAGGTAACTGGCTTACAAATTAGGGTAATTATGTAAAACAAATAAAACCAACCACTGTCTTCTGTGCTCGCCCAATGTCCTGCTTTTAAATCCATGACAGCAGGCAGAACATGTTATGCAACAAGAAAAGCAAAATGTTGGTGTCCTGGAAAAATCCTGTATAGACCATGGCTTTGTGCACCAGTTAACGCAGGTCTTCCCACTGGAGCCCTCCAGTAGAACGTATATGAAAGAAACCATATAGTACTAAGTGAAGGCGGGGGCAGAAAATAAAAGAAGTAGAAATCCTGGAAAGAATTGCCCTTCCTCACAACTGTGGTTGCATGCTTCTACAGGGATGGAAAAGATAGAATGCAGCTGCCAGAATCCCACAGAATTCTATGTTATAGCTGAAGATTTATTATTGCTTAAGAGGTTTTTATAGATCATATTCTAAGCTGATGATTTTCCATGTTGCTTCCAAAATAGATTGTGGCTATACATAAACATAGAGTCATACACCATATTTTGATTCAACTTCGCTTTATGAATTGGGTGGGACTTAGAACACACAAACAAAACTGGAAAAGGATACAGTAGGTATCAATTTTCAAGGAGACAGGTGTATTTCAGCATGTGTGTGGGTGTATTAATTTGCGTGTGTATGTATAAAAACACAAATTTATGGGAACTTTAAAAAAGAGGTGCCACATGCCTCACTTCGCTGTTTTCTCCAACATCCACTGATGTTTTGTTTATATTAATTGCAGCCCATTTTTTCCTGGGGCTTGCTGGTTCCTTTTGCTCAGCCCGCCCTGTGGGTTGTTGCTGCTGTACCCAGCATGCGGTGTTCCACTGGTATTGTTTAGGTCACTGGTTCTTAACCTTGGGTTACTCAGGAGTTTTGGACTGCAACTCCCAGAAGCCTTCACCACCAGCTGTCCTAACTGGGGTTTCTGGGAGTTGCAGTTCAAAAGCATCCGAGTAACAAAGGTTAAGAACCACTGGTTTAGGTAGTGCCATTTCAATCTGGCTTCAGGCCTGGCTATGGGACAGAGACGGCCTTGGTAGATGACCAAGGACAGGGGATCTGCTTCCCTGTTGGTTTTGCTGGACCTCTCAATGACTTTTGATACTATCGACCAGAGTACCCTCCTTGACCCGCCTCCCTGGAATGAGACTTGGGGACTCTGCAGAACTCAGGTGGTGCTGCTGGAGGATTCCTGTTCAACATCCTGGCCACTGGCCCTCTGGGTTCTGCTCTGTCTCCTGTGTTATTTAACATTGACATGCAACTGCATGGGGAGATGATCCAGGTTTGGCATCACCAGTATGCAGGTGACACCCAGCTCTACCTTTCCTTGCCACCTAAAGCCAAGGAAGCTGCTTCAGATCTGGATCAGTGTTTGGTATCAGTAATAGATTGGACCAGGGTGAATAAATTTAAACTTAATACAGACAAGACAGAGGTGCTTCTAGTTCAGCCAAAGGGATGCAGCCAGTGCTGGATGGGATTACAATGAAAAAACAGGTGCACAGCTTGGGGGGTGCTCCTAGATTCATCTCTGAGCCTGGATGCCCAAGTCTCGGTGGTGGCCAGGAGTGAATTTGCACAATTAAAACTAGTGGGCAGCCACATCCATTTCTTGAGAAATCTGATCTGGCCACTGTGATACATGTCTTAGTTACTTCCTAACTGGATTACTGTAATGCACTCTATGTGGGGCTGCTGATGGAAAGTGCCAGGAAACTTCAGCAGGTCTAAAATGCAGCAAGCAGGTTGCTGATAGGGGCTGGCTACAGGCACTGCTTGCTGCATTTTAGGCACTGTAATTTTTTAAAGGACAGGTCACAAACAAAGATCTATAGCAAAAAGAAGAATCGCTTGTTCCTAGAACTGTAATTTGGATCAAATTTGAGAAAAAGGTAGAAAGGGGAGAAGGGTGATAAACATGGTGAAAGAGCAAGTGAAAGGGCAGAGAAACAGGTGAACAGGAAAGGCAGGGCTTGATAAGAAAATGTTTTTGTCCTGTGTGGACAAGGGGTACTGGAATGAAAGATCATGGGTGCATGGATGCCAAGAATGAGCTATGACATCATTATGCATCATAAAGGTAGCACAGAGTTCACCCAACAAAGCAATGTCACCTGGTCTGGACAAGCCCTCACAGATCTTTTTAAGTGTGAGCATCTGGGGATTACAATCTATGTTGTAGACACACAGAATATAATATTTAAGACAGAGATTTATATATACACTGTGTACATGATTCTGGATGCTGAGATAGCATGAAATGTGATACAGAAGATGACAATTCCTTGTCTAACACTGGTAATGAACCTTCACAACCTTGATTGCATAAACGGCCTATTGATAGGTAGAGTAATTAGCTAATATCAAGTGTCTATATACTAATCCAAAATTCCTAGGGCTTTATCTTTGGAATACCAAGGCAGAAACACTGAATTCTACTTTCAGGGAACAGATGACAAGGCATCAAAATCTGGACTCCATTTGTGATCTGCTTGGGAAGGAAAATACTTTTTCACGTGCATGATTCAAAAAAGCTTACAATGTTGGCAGAAAATGAAGAGAAAACAGAAAAATATACTCCTGAAAGCATGAGAGGGAGGGACGGAGAAGGACAACCAATCAAAACATGGAGAGTGACTGAAATTTTCAGTCCAAATTTCAGACATGGGCAAATACTATCAAGAAAAAAGACAAAGTTGTAACCCACTGTTTTCTTTGCAGGCTGTCAACAGCAGTACACTTTCCTAACTTATCATTCCCTAGGCTCCTTCAGTGAGAGGGAGAACGTAATTGGGTTGCTTAACATTTCAGACACAATCATAAATGGGCTGTGGATAGAAGTATGCAGAGTAAGATGCAATAGCATTTTGAATCCTTTCCCTAGGAGAGAAGCCTTCAAAATCAGCATCCCTTCACTCATGCAACCAGGTTACACTGAGAAATTGCTCAGTTGACACGCCTTGGTACCCTTTATGCCTACCTGCTGGAGATAGGAAGCAGAAACTGTGTTTAGTTGAAGACTACCCATGGGGCTTCCCCACCCAGAGTGACAGGCTGTGACTTAGTCACATTCCTTTAAAAAGGTAAAGGTTCCCCTTGACATTTTTAGTCCAGTCGTGTCCGACTCTAGGGGGTGGCGCTCAACCTCCCAGCAAAATGAAGTGGCTAATCCTTTTCTCCTGTCTGCAATCACAAACTGTTTGTCCTACCAAACGAATAGGTGAAATTAGCTACTGATACGCATTGAGCAGGAGCACCTTGAAAACGGGAGTTCCAAATCCTCAGTATTCCTTGGAGGAGTAAATGCTAGCCTGTGTAGCTTTGAGCAAGCAACATGGTCCCAGAAAGGAATGGAAAGCCATTCACACTGCTGGAGTGGGAGCTGGGAAATCTAGGTTGTGCTGGTCACTGCACCATGAAATACTGGGCGGCCATGGAGACATCAAGCGCTCTTTCAACCTGACCTACCTTTCGGGGTTATGAGAATTACGTAGGGAGATAGGAAGCCGTGTAGGCTGCCTTGAGCACTTTGGCAGAAAAGTTGGATATAAATGGAGGGAAAGCTTGTAGCCAAATGTCACACCCTCCAGGGGCTGAGGTTGAGCACTAGCTGTTTGAAAGAACTAAGCCTTAATTTAGGATTGCCTTGAATTTCAGATGTAGCTGTGCCTTGCAGAATGCTTACAGAGATGACACAAAGTGACTTGAAGAAGCAAAGTCAGAGGCTGCAATAAGAAAAACAGAACATTAAACACCAGCCCATCACTGCACTCTGCACTATGGGAGACAAACTGATCCACTGCTGTGATGCGTCTGACTGGGGAGGGGGGACATTTCAAGCAAAAGGGTGTAAATCATTTCCAGTCCCATTTGGAAGTGATTAAGCGACCTTAGGAACGCACACACTGGCAGGCTTCGTTTAAGTGGTTCGGCTTTCCAAGTGGCTCCAGCTGCATCCCCTTCCAAATCTGCAGCTTCTGATTTATTCATGGCATTAGGGATGCAAAACACAATCACGAGAAGTAGGCCAACATGAGACGAGAGCTAGAATACACAGCAAGCGGTTTTACCATTCCAGCAGAAGTGGGGGATCATTCCTATTTTAAATTAGGTTAGGCTGATTTGAAAAATCAGTACAAGAGATATATGGGTGCTGCGCCCCCATGAAAGGCAGATGTCAAGAGGCACCTTCTCCTCTCCTCAAAAGGGGGAAAAAAAGAAATATATTAACAGATGGAAAGCTCGACATGGCTTCAGAACTAGTTTGTAGACACCTTCGAGCAGAATTAAGCCACTTCCTCTCCGGACTGTGTACACACTGAATACTGGAAAACAGCTACACTATGAACAGTGGCATTTGGGTCCAATCTGGTAGACAATGCTGATGCTCAACACCCTCCATGATACTCACTAAAACAAGTAGAAAATACGCAAGAATAATGGTTTGCTGGCAGGCATCCTGCCTCTTCAATGTATCTCAACTCCCATCTCAGGAGTGACAGCAGTTTCAAGACCAAATGTGTTGTTTCTCTATTAAAGCATTTGTATCCCCCCCACCCCCCGGAACATACTGTAGTTTAAAGCTGAACAGTTGCTGGTGTCTTCCTGGCTGTAATATAATAAACCCTCCACGTCAGATTAAATACTAAGAGGAAAAGGACCTGAGAACTGCATCTGCAGAATTTTTAGTAATGTACACCAGCTTATCAGCAACTATTGTGTGTGGGTGAAAGTGTGCACTTGATTACATGTTGTGCCTGGATTGCTACAGACCAGAACACAATTCTCAAGGCTGCTCAGCTGTGGTTCCAGTCTGCCAAAATCCCGTTTGTGTGTCAGTAAAGACACAATTCTTGTTAAATCAATAGGTTTGACAAATGTGAACAGGGTTATATGAAATAAAGTGTTTAATGACTTTAGTATAACCAAATATTTGGTGAAACAGACTATGCAGTTGCAGAGATTGTGAATTAGGAGGAAGCAGAAGAAAACCCGAAAAGCTGTTTTGGGAGATAAAAGCCACAACTCAATAAAGTGGGCATATTTGAGCTCCACCAGTGTTTCAGGCAGTCTCACCTATCATTTAGACTAAAACTTAAAAAAAAGAGAGTAGGCTGTGTGATACAAATTCTCAAGGAGCTACTACATTTTGTTTTCTTTGTGCGTAACACCAATCAACTGCAAGTCCTACTGTTTTTGGCTTCTTATAGTTTATCTACTAATTTGTTTGTATCCCTTTGAAAGTTTTATTGGAGATTTAGTGTGGGAACTTTGTAACAATTTAGCACAAACAAAGCCAAGAGCTCCAATTACACAGGAAAGGATGAAAAAGGCTCATGAAACCAGATCAAGTGTTAACAGAACACCTTCCCAGTGTTTCCAGTATTTGCAATCCAGATGTGGCAACAGGTGACGGCTGAAGTTGTGCTTATAATAGCTATTCTTATTTAATGTTAAGCTTCCACTGCTGGGTTCTAGGTACAAGGATGTTGCTGGGGTTGGACAATGAGCTGCCATTTTCTTTGATGCTTCCCATATTTATGGTTCCACAGAACAGCATTTAGACCACGGTATGGAAACCCAATGATATCCAACAGTATGCAATTGTCCATACAAGACTTTCTTGTTTGAAAAGTAAGGAGTCAAGAGCAACAATGAGGTTCTGCAGATCTACTTTGGATCCTCAGCAAGGATGGAAAAGACACTGCTCACAATCTAGCAAGTGGAAAAGACACTGCTCATAATCCAATTTCTGTCCTAATCTGATGAAAAGCAAACGTGCATAAATTAAAGGGCATGTTTTGTTGTATAAATATCTACTATACAGGTATGTACAGAACACAAGAAAAACCTGCCTTTAACTAGCTATTGCAGCTATTACAGAACAGGATCTCTTTCGTTGCAATAAAGCATGAAGTTCAACCTCAGCTACTGTGGAACATCACCAGATGTGCTAACACTGTTTCTACAGATGCTAAAAATCCCCACCAACATCTCCAGACTCTTCAGTGCTTCCAATAATAAACTGAAACAGTTTCCCTCATTTTCCAGCAAAGAGGAAGGCCACAGACATTGGATGGGAACCACCACAGTCCAAAGAGCACATCTTATTCTATAGCCATCAAAGCCATTCTCCAAAAGATAACGCTTGAGTGTTGCAAAGACTAGATCAGCAAGGGCTTGCAGGCTTGCTGTCTTGCTGAATAAAGACATCAGCTCCACTGCTGTTCTTTAGCCTTCTGCTGTCCATTAGGATGCTGATAACAAAGCCACAAAAAAGGCCCCCATCTTGAGTCTATCAGCATCCAGTGTTATGGTTTGGGTAGCCACAAGAGTCTGCAAGAATCAGTCTATTGCTCTTGATCACTTGTCTGGTTTTGTTTGAGAAGTCTGAGACACACGGTTGATGCTGCTTTCAATGAAGAGTTTCAGGCCTTGTAGGTCTTGGGAATAGAGGTACTTCAGGTACCATTCCCACTTCCTCCCCTGAGATAAAAACATTAAGAATGGTTACTTCTCTCCTTGCTCACACATTGGCTGAAAATGTGAATCTCTTTGTCACACATTCGCTGAAATCATGCTTGTGTAACTTTCGCAGAGTAAGGCTGGTGACGTTATCAGCCAGAGCATTCCCCCCCCCTTTGGAAATTAAACATTTCCTTGCCCTCTATCATGAAGGATCTTGATTTCATCATTAGTGTCAATTTTAGGTAATTAAAGGCTCCCTCCTCCTGTCCCTCAGCTCCCACAGGCTTCTAATGATGGAAAACATTACTTGGGACCTCTAGGGGCTTTGTGGAAGATCTGGGAAATGTTTAATTTTCCAAAACCTGTCGGGGTTGATGACATCATCAGCCTTACATTGCAGAAGTTACATGAATAGGATCTGAGCCAGGAACTTTGAGCTTGTCAGTTCTCCAGACCTTGAGGGCAGCCCACGAGGAACAAGCCCACTGTACCCATAATAGCATGGCATTTTAGCACAAACCTGGCAGGGAGCAGTGTTGGAATAACTTATCAGTTAAACACTTGAGCTCCAATTAACTTCTAGCAAGCATTTCATATTTCAGGTGCAATCCAAAGACTAAATATACACCTTAATCTACTGGCTGAATTTTACAGATCACCTTAGTTAAGTCTATGTCAAAAAAAGAGGCACATTTGCAAAGTTAGAGAAAAGCTGAGCAGGAATGCCCTGTTAGTGCCAAGCTGCAGTAAATGTAGAACAGAAAAAGTTCTATTTCTAAAACAGCATTGTTTCATCAAACTAGCAGCATGATAAAGGAGTGGATGCAACAAGCATCTAAGTGAGCAGTTTTCTGCCCTCCCACCACCTCATGTTTTCTCTCTCTTTTATACACTGAATATGTATTTGCAAAGAGAGTTTGCACATAAACCAAAATAAGAAAACATAACCTAAAATGTTAAATCGGATTCCAGTCCGTTTAGAGAAACAGTCTTTAGAGGGTATGGAGGGCAGTTTTTCAGCTCCAGGACTCATCCCTAATCCCCAAACTGGGAGCAAATGTCCTTCTGTTTGGGAAGTCTTTGTGTACATTTAGCAGTCCTGCATGTAATTTTATACTGGAACATTGCTCTTGGAAGAAATGAGGAACAGAACATGGCTTTTCCCCCACTAGTATCACCCTTTTTTCCTCAGTCAAGGCAATGGGGGCAGGGTATGTGTCTTAAGAAGCCACGTTTAAGGTATCATTTTAGTTATATTTCCATTTTCACTGCATCGTTCTGCAGAAAATTTATGTATGCCAGTGCAGTTACTAGTCTATTTATTTTGGAAACTATATTCTCATCGATGCTCAAAAAAGGGCTACAAAGACACCATTAATATCTAGCAGTAAAGGAAAGTACTGCTTCTATTTCAGGAATTTTATCTGAAGGCAAGAAAATTCCAACCTAAAAGCAATCCTTATGCAGAGATGTGCCACCAGCTGTTCTCTGTTCTACACTCCCCCCACCCCGAGAAAGCATCTTGCAGACACAGAGAGAGCATGTATACAAAGAAGACACAGATTTTTAAGCAGCTTATAGCAACCATGTCATCTTCTTCTACGCTCCCAGTTTCTAGACCAATTGCTTCTTTTTGGGGTTAAAATTTCTCTGACTAACAAATAGCTTTCAGTGAGAGTCAGCTACTTTACCTGAATTAATTTGAAGTTTGGAGTTTTGTCTTCTGGTTGAACCTGAAGGGAAAAGGGGAAAAGGAAAATTAGGAATTAATGGTTCATTGAGTTATTAAAGCAAATCAACCCATTAGCCAGTAAATGTTGCAGACAGGGTAAGTCTAGAAACATTCAGAAACTACAGTACTCTCTTTGGGGACTGTACGATTCTATTCAAATATTAAGCTCCTTCAGAAAACAGCACTGGAAGGGAAGCATTTTGGATTCTTACTGGGCAAAGTCAGGTTTATGGTTTCCCCAAACTGCACCATGAAATCAAATCTATGACTGAGTCATAGATCTATAGAAAAATTAACACAACATTTTCATTTTTCTGCAGGACCTTAGTGGATGTAAAGCTTGGGTTGCTTTAGGAGAGTGGTTCAACTTCCTTTCAGCTCAATATGTGGAAATCCACCAAGAGAAAAAAATATCTAGGCTCCTTCCAAACTGACTGCTCCAAGCACCAATAAACCACTACTTTTTAAAGAGGTATGCTACATGTAGAACTGCATTCAACTTTTCACATCATTTAGAGATATTGTGCATTTTCTGTGAATTCATCATACTATATTCTTTCTAAATCAGCACTGAGCACTCTTTTTCTTTTCTTTGAAAAAAGGGTAGGACTGTGGTCTTAATGGGTTACTGGGTTTCTATTTCCTTCATTCTCTGCCAGTCTTATAAAGCATGATGGGAGCAGTAAACTTTTAAGAAATGTGGTTTTTATCCAGGTGGTGACATACTGGACTAAAGCTACCACTGCTCAGCACACGTAGACTATAACCTTTGAAGAAGCCACCATTTTCCATCACACAATAATTAATCAATCTTTTAAACAGTGCTGGAACACCTATTCAGCTGAAGGTTTGAAAACATTCTTTCACTTCAGTGGTTTTTGCTTTTCCTCTCTCAAACCTGAAAGGTGGTATCACATTGCTTTGAAGAGAGAATTTTTAAAAACTGATTTTAAAAATGGCACCCACTGCAAGGGTCATACTGAACATATGCTAAACTTCTACATTCCTCAAGAAGTCAGACTCTCTGCGATGTAAAAAGAAAATGGAAGCAGCACTGGGAAAATGTGAGATGCTTACAAACAGAAGACATGTAAACTGCCCCACATAAAATAAGTAAGCAAGTCATGGTGATTTCATACTTAATGCTTTAATGCCCAAATTCATGCCAATGTTGCCTCGGGAGAAATGGGCATCGGAGGGAATTAGTTTCTTAGAGAATCTGCTGCAGGACAGTGCCCTCTGGTGAACTGAACAGCAAACTCCAGTCTGGTTTGTCTGCCAAGGACAGAAGGCAGCCTTAGCAAGGTTCCTCCGGGAGGGGATATAGCTAAGTAGAAGAGCAGCCACTTTGCATGATGAAGTTTACAGGTTCAACCCTCAGCATTGCCAGCGGCTGCTAGAGAAGACTTTGCCTGAAATGCTGGAGAGTCACCACCAATCCGTCAGTGAAGAAAAGATTAAACCAAATGAACCAATGGCTGCCAGTAGAAGTTGAGGACGTTTTCTGTGCTTCTTAGGCATTAACTTTCTGAGTGTGAACATACCTGCCTACTACGGAAATAAGTAGCTGTCATGTTCAGTCTAAATATTCTCGTATCTTTAAAGTTGCACAGAAGTGTTCATCAAGTGAAGCTTTTGTTTTTACAAAGGTAAACCAAAGTGACTCAAAAAGGCACAAGGTCTGTATCTGCAATCTTGATGTGGATCAATATTTAGACACTCTAGAAGACCAAAAGCCATATACTTCTAAAAGAAATTGGATTATGAACAAAATATGACTGCGGTACTTGAACTTCTATGGTAACCCTTTTGGTGTTTTGTTTTTTGGAGGGGAAAAGAAAACCCAAATTTAGCAAAGGCAAAAGAGCATCTTGCTGCAGATCAAGATTCAAGCAGATCTGACAATGAACCCACAAAAGAGTGGATAGATATGTTTAAGACTGTCACATAGTTTTCTCGATGGAATAGACATCCTTCAGTCTCGAGAGACTATGGTATCTTGCTCTGCATGGAGGACTTGGAACAGCGTCTAGTGTGGCTGAGAAGGCCAATTCGAGAGTGACAATCCCTTCCACACTGAGGACAAGTACAATCTATTCCCCGTCTAGCTCCCTGATTTTGCTGCTTTCGTGACTTGGGAGGCCTGCTGGCCAAGGGTCTCTTCAAATTGGGAGAGGCCATGATGCACCGCCTGCCTCCAGGCTGAATGCTCAGATGTCAGGGTTTCCCATCTGTTGAGATCCATTTCCAAGGCCTTCAGATCCCGCTCGCACACATTCTTGTGGCAACAAGGATTGCTGGAGGTTTGTTTTCAGGTGATTATAAGACTGGTTATAAAACAACAGTTCATGGGAAAGCAGATGGATAAGAAAAATACACTCTTCTTCAAAAGCTGCTTCAGCCAAGGTAAATTAGTCATTCATTTTTCTACCAGTATCAGCTTGTTGCTTTTAGTACTATGCTATCTGAAAGCCATTGAAACTTTAGGCTTCAGACAGTACACTACTAAGAGCAACTGGAAAGAACAAAGTCCTTACCTGCTGCAAGAAGAGCATAGCGTAACCTGTGAGTGCAGGGTGGTAAACTATGTTCAAGCCCTTCCTGTATTCCTGCACTTTCATCTTCTCCAGCACTTCTGGTTCCATGTGAATCCCCTGGGGGTGAAAGTCTCTTTGGAACACATTTGAGGTCCACAGGCACCCAACCATGGCTGTTATATACTGGTTATATTCCTGGCAGCTCCGACTGCTGAACTTGAATTGCAGCATTGTCTAAAAGGAGTGAGGAAGACAAATTTATGAGGTATTTTCAGAACAGTAACAGCTTCTTTAATCACTGGTTAACAAACAGCATTGCTTCAACATGCCCACTGCAGTTGTTATCTGCAGCTGGTCAATCAACTGAAATTGAGGGGAATTAGTGTTATGAGTAATGTTTGCTCATTACTCATCAAATATTCCTGCTAGGGGTAATTTTGTAAGATGCCCCCCCCCCAAATAATAATAGACAGCCAATAACTAAAGCAACAACTTGGCCAGAACCCTATTGGTGTTCACATAAGGTTTGTATGACTTGCAACAGCTAATTGATAAAATGCTGGGCACACATTGGTTGTGTGCCTGCTCATGTGACTGACTGCGCAACTAAATTGCACCCCAGCACATTATTAATTAGCTGGGGTGTAATTAGCTGGGGCGGAGTTACCTACATCAAGTTACACTATCTTATATAAACACCAATAGGATTTCAGCCATTACTTTTTAAATATCAGATTTCAATATATGCTTTTGACATTCTAAGATTGTAAATGCAGTTCCATTGTCCACATACAGTGGTGCCTCGCTTAATGGGCACCCTGTTTAACGATGAAATTGCATACTGATGAAGATTTTGCGATCGCATTGCGATGTTTTAAATGGGGAAAAATCGCTTTGCGATGATCGGTACCCTGTTTCGCTTACCGATTATCGCAAAGCGATGATTTTCTAACAGCTGATCGGCGGTTCCAAAATGGCCGCCTGCTGTGTTTTCACGCGGATTCCTCGCTTACTGGGCAGCGAAAATGGCCGCCGTATGGAGGATTTTCGCTTTAAGGTGAGTTTTAAGCCCATAGGAATGCACTGAAGGGGTTTCAGTGCATTCCTATGGGTTTATTAAAATCGCATAGCGACGAAATCGCTTTGCAGCCATTTTTGCTGCACCGATTAATGTCGCTATGTGAGGCACCACTGTATTGTGGTTTGTAAAGTGAAAAAAATGAAAACCATTGTTGGGAGGCGGAGCCAGAGAGGAGAAGTTTAGTTTAAAGTCTGGATAAGCGTTAGACAGAGGGAGAGATATATTGTGTATTTTTAATGACAGACTGGATGTCACTAGACAGAAAAATAAATGGGCAGCAAGGAAGGCAAAAGTTAGGATTTAGGAAAAAGTAAAATTACATTTCAGCAGGGAAAATACTTTTTTGATATGTCATATGAGAGAAGAGATTTGCCAGGTAAGAGGAACATTGCCGAAATTTTTGTGCTTTTTTTCCTTGAACATTACAGGAAGAAAATCAGTGGAGTATTTGTTTCCCTCCAAACACGGAGCATAAGATGCATTTGTCTTGCTTTCTATATTACCTGCTTAGCCTGTTGATTTTGTTTTGCAGCTACCAAGTTGGTTCGATACCTGATATAAGGGAAAGGGAAGGAAGATTTAGATACATTTCTGAATTCTAACACATAGCATATGCATAGTACACGCTGGTAGCAAAAGGTCCATAAATCACAGTCTCTGGATTGCATCTTGTTTATGCCATGATCTCACTAAGTGGCTCAAGCAACCCTCTCTAAGCCACAAACTTCTGACCGGCAAGATGGGGAAGTAATAATACTGATTTCACAGTGTTGTTATTGTAAGGATTGCAAATAAGATGTGCTAGACAAATATTAGGTATCATTATTATGATGCACATGCAGCCATGGCTATCCTACGTAGGACTGCTACCCGTGAACCACTCCGGTCCCATTCTGAAAGGTACGGAGCACCAAGAGAGCACTAACCTTACCCTATCACCTTTAGTATAATTGCTTTCAACGAACTCTGGAAATTACTTGTGCTTTTCTTTCATGATTTCTTGCAATAGCAGCCATTTCCAGTCGGCAACACAAAGAATGGGCTGGGCAAAACAGCTCCTGATCGTCTAACAGCAAATGTACTAAACCTATTCCTAAATATAAAGGAGTTCAAGAGGCTGGTTTCACAGCTCAAAAGCAGCTGTTAGTAGGAAAAAGAACAGCAGAATGGATTTTCATTTCAATGCGCAAGTGTGCTTCCCTGTAAGAAGACTGCTGTTTTGTGGAGCGCAACAGGCTCTGCAGGAGCCCTGGGCATCTAAAGAAGGGGCAGACCATGACCGCAAACAGAATCACTGGTGCCTTGTTCCATCCCTGGAGAAACTCAAAGTCACCAGAAGGAATTGGCCCCAACAGCTGTTCTGGGTAATAAGCACAACTTTTGTTCTACCTCCCAGAGTGTACCCTTCCATATTAATTATCCTGCAGGTCCCTTAGGGAGGAAGCTATATAGACAGCCCTATGCCAGATGTCAGCAATAGATTAATTTTCATAACAGATATAACAGCTAACGTTGCTAAGAACAAAAAAACAGTCTTAAGCAGCAGGTCTTGCAGAGAAATTATTTTAAAAAATCTAGATGCAAAGCCAGTTTCAGAAACTTAGACCTTTGTTGCTCTTTTCAGTGCATTATCATCATCCCAATAACATCCCCAATAGAATACCTCAACATTAGATTGTGCTTGAACTCTGAAGTATTTGTAACAGCTTGACCAGTGTCATGTGGGTAATCTTGCCCTATAAAGTAAGTTTGAGGGTACCTGTGGTTTTCCAGTACCATCAAGTATAGAGTGCTATAAAAAACAAAACACTATTACTTCAGTTGTTCCCAACATTGGGCTCCCAGATGCTCTTGGACTACAAATCCCAAAAATCCTGGTCAGCACAGCGAGTGGTGAAGGCTTCTGAGAGTTTTAATCCAAGAACATCTGGGAACCCAAAGTTGGAAACCATTGCTTTCTATCTTGCAGAGCTGGATCCAGAGGACTGTTTAATAACCCATGTGGTAATATCAAGAACTACCACTACTGTTTCCAGGAAGCAAAACAAAGAAACCAACTATAGGAAAGCAAGTCATGAGTGCCAGGGTCAGAAGATTTCACATTCAGACAATCTGTTTTGCGCCTCACTAGAGCTTTTGAGAGCCAGCAACAGCAGTCTGAAGCACATTTACATTTAAAGAATTCAGAGGACAGGTGTTTGTGGAAACTCTCCCTTTTTCTGCACACAAAACCTCTACCTCTGATTCTGATTTTTTAGCAGCATGACTGGGGGAATAGAATAGGGAGAAAAAGCACAAAGATAATTTTGCTGCTGCTGTTGTTTAAAAAGCTCGCTGGCTAGCTCAATGAGTTAGTTATCTAGCTATGGAGTCAGAAGGTAGGAGTTAAATCCCCACCACGAGAAGAGTCTGTGCAGCCATCTGAAAGCTGCACAGTCCCAGGGAACGGTAAAGCACTTTGAGTACCTAGAAATCCCTGGAAAAGCCATAAGCATGCAACTATTACTATTATATAATTGTTAAATAACTAGGAGTCAGAGGTCTTTGATAATCTACTGCAAATTATCCAGAAATCTACTGGTAGGTCCAGACCTGCCTACTGCTCAGCACTGATCAAAGCAACAAAATTTTTAAAGTGCTAAGTAACCAACTCAGGCCAAAATCTAACTGTGAAAAACTGTGTGCATAAGGACAACCATACAGTGATTTTTCTCAAGCAAGCTGTCCTTCACATGACTGGGTATGTGTTTTCACAATATATATGATTTACAACGATTACACAACTGGTTATACAAAGGGGAGCCTGTTGGGAGAGAATGCTTAAGCATCTGCCCTTATACAACCATGTAAGCTACTACGACTGAGGCTCAAGCTCATTTTTACAACTGCTCAGTTCACCAACTTTGAATCTCAGATTCATGACCAAAGGAAGTAAGTCCTAACAAGAGTATTACAGCCTTTTTGGAAAGAAAGGAACAGACACTTTCCCACCTCACCCACCATAATTTGAGACTAAATAAATAAGGTTTCAAGGAATGGCTTGAAAGAGGATAAGATGGGAAGTGTTCTCTGCATAAGGGACAGAAAAACATAATCTATCAATACCTGTACATGATGTGACAAAGATGGTTAATTGTGACAGAATCCATGCTGAGCAGAGCTGGATAGAAGATTCCAGCAGGAGGCATCATGAGCAAAGGGAGGTTATATTTCTGATAAACATCACATACCTACAAGTAGGAAGGACAGGCAGATGAAATTTTTATATTCCACTCTTCACTCTCAGTAGAGTATCTAGAAAGGAAAAATGGAAGGATTGCCTAGTTCTTAACCACCTTTGTGTTAAACTCAAACCCGTTTTCTATATGACTTTTAAAGCATTTTACTCGAGAGTGAAATGCCTGAAGGATCATAGTCCCTCAAAACATACTCATTCTCTACTATCTTCAGGAGTCCTTATTCATGTGCTCAACATTTTGTCCCAAAAGAGACAATTGTGCTTTCTGGGTTTGAGGGTGGTCATTCTGTTGTGCTCACTCCCACGGCCTGGTTTAGGTCCCTCAGAAGCTTTTTATAAAACTAGAATTCAAAGTCTGAAAATGAGGCAAAACAGCCAGTTGTGCCTCCTGGAAGATGTGATTGTCCCTTGAGGGGAATTTATTTAAAATGGGAGCACACTGGGGAGTACACTTTACCCACTCCTGTATAATAAAAATCAGGACAAGGCCATATGGTCCTCGAAACAATACCAATTCAGGAACAGGCAATACCTTTATTGGACCATTAAGAAAATAAAATAAAAAACAAAACAAAAAAATAAAGCAAGCTTTCAATTATAATTCATCTTCCTCAGGCTTGCACCAAGTTCTCATGGGTAGCTCCAAAATTATATAAACAGAAGAACTTGGTGCACAGCCTGAGGAAGATGAATTATCATCGAAAGTTCGCTTTATTCTTATTTTTGCTTTATTTTCTTAATGATTCAACAAAGGTATCACCTGTTCCTGCATTTATCCTGTATAGTAGGCTCCTTAGAGCTGTTGACACACTGTCCCACAGCTTAGCACCTTACAGATGTGTTTTGACTACACAGCCCTATAATAGATGGGAAATTTGCAGTAAAAACATATTTATGCCATTTATATACCCTTGCACTGCTGAAGCTCTGATTTTGGCATTTTATTTGTCGCAGGTTCTGAAATTACAACACCCCGTTTTCCCTCAGCAGTAATGTGCACTAGTCATGCCAGCCGAAGGTGATGCTGACTATAGTGCAACACTTGTGCAAAGGAGCAGATGGGTACGTTTGCTTTAGAAATAGGGAACAAACATGCAGTGTGAACAGCTTACGTACTATATCATAGAAATCCAAGATGAAGTGCATTAGGAAAGCTGAGTTGTTCTCCAAGCGCAGGGCAATAGTTGACAGCCATCCTACGAAGTGGATGAGCTCTGCCACAGAGCTCACTAAGCCAGAGAGGGTGGTGTTCCTGCAGGGAGCAAGATACATTAGTGACAACATCTTACAAGGCAGGAAAGATCACTCCCTGTAAAGAACATGCCCACCTGGCTGTCTCCTGGACCACACTGTACTACAGCTGTAACGCCTTCTAAAGCCCAGACTTACAAGAAATCTGCATTCAATTCTGTTGCCATGTCTGCTTGCATGATGTGCCAGTTCAGCCAATTCAGCAACAGCTCCCTCAGGCTTTCAAGAACACTGCACTGGAGATGAGGGAAGAGACAGATCATTAATGGATCAACTGTAATTTAGACTTGGATCATACCTAGCTGAAATGCTTTATAAAGTTCTGAGGCTGCAAGCAAGGAGCTTACTGAAGCCCTAGATAGAAACAAAAATAAGCTTAAAAGCTCTCCTAAGGCAGTTTAAATAGATTTCAGGCTACTAACATGGCCACAGAAAAACAAAGTTACACACAATGAGAAAGCATGAAAAGTTCCTTGTCTTCATGTGTTAGCAATCTCAATGATGTTTATGGATTTTTCTTGTACAAAATCAAATAACCCGTCTTAGCTATCAATGGGTATTGAACTCAACTGAAACTCAACTGAAATAAATGGCTGTGAAGATACAGAGATCTTTTTAATATGCTAGACATCCTACCAAAACTCAAACATTGTATCTTTTAAATGGGAAAGCAGATTTTTTTTGACCCTTTCCCTCACAGTACCTTAAAATAAAGGGATGATGTGATAAAAAGCTGTGTCAATGGCCTACAGAGATAAGACTGCTTCATTTCTGAAAAGAAAGGAAAGACAGGCAGAATGACTTTGGAGCTAGTACGTCTGACCAGACTATAAAACAGAATAATGTTGATTTGGATGCATCACATACCTGAGAAAGTGCTGAGAGGGATCCAGCTCACCAGCCGAAGGACCTGTGACCGACAGCAGCAACCATCCCAGAAAGGGAGGGTCCTGTACAGGAATTCTTCACAAGAGGAGAAGCCCTCCTAAAGAGACAGTCAAGATTGCTGAAGACTTCCTGCAAGACAGTCCTTTTCATACACCCAATTTCAGAACAACAAAGGAGAAAATGGAAGTGATTCGCCTGGCCTTCACCAAATTATTTGGGAGAAGAAAATGATGTTTATCAAGACTGCCAAATGGGAAGCTCTGTGGCAGGGATGGCAATGTGTCTAAAAATTAACATACTTTTCTTTGGCCAACGAAGAGATTCCATCATTTTTGTCTGCCCAAGCAGAGTTGTAACTCTGACACTTATTTTGCCAATGGTTGTCCTACAGCCAATCTTTGCATCTCTCAGCTAGTATAGGAAGAACATTACTTCTGGTCAGCAAAAACGGCTGAGATGCAGTCATTTTTCCCCCCAGCATCTGCAGAGAAAGCAATGGCAAAACCACTGTGAGATGAGGGAACAACCATCCAAATAACTGTCAGGATGTCACAAAGAAGACAAAGATTTTTCTGCTACCCCAGAGAAGATCTTTAGATCTAACGGGCTTAAGTTAGAGGAGGCTAGATTTTAGATTAAGTTTACAAGAAACTTTGTGATGATGGTAAGAGTATTTTGAAAATGGAAACAGTTACAGCTGTTGTCAATGGGGTTTTTTCAAACATATACTGAACAGCTATATGTTTTTATTATTATTATTTACTACTACTGCTACTCCAGAAACAGTCAACATTTTAACAACATTCATTGGTATTATATGACAGATACAAGTTCTAACCAAAAACCTAAGTATCTGTTAAATATCAGTGCAGTATGTATGCTATTCCTATTATTGCCGTTTTTGGAGCTCTGATTGGGTGATTTCTGAGATCTGCAATTGCTTAAAGTACTGTATGAACTTTCTTGATATTGTTCCCGAAGCCTCAATGACTACTGAAGTGTGTTTCATCCACAAGCAAGTTGTTTCGATTGCCAGATCTCTGTACTGTACTTTGTTTGTTTTTCCAATTCTTTATTTTCAACCTCTGAAGATGCCAGCCACAGAGACTGGTGAAACGTTAGGAAGAACAACCTTCAGAACACAACAACCATTGTTTTCACAACAACCATTGTTTTCAAATGTTGTTTCTTATACTGAGATTTTGTTTCTGTTTTCAAAATATTCTCCATTCTCACTGCCTTATGTAATCTTTCTCTGCTCGTACTGACATAATCAGGCTTCTCTTTTCCTTCTCTACTAAAAGCAAAGCGTGCTGCTTATATACCACCCCATAGTGCTTCAAGCACTCTCTGGGCAGTTTACAAGTTATTCTAGGCTGCTGCCCTAATGCCATGCAGCTTCACTGAAACACATATGGAAATAAAAGTACAAATGCCTTCCAGGGAATGATGGCAAAAGAATCACATGTAAACTAACCTGCAAGAAACACTCCGCTTCCAAGACTTTCTCCAAGAAGTCCTTGAACTCCAATTCATATTGCTGGTTCTCTATCTTATACCAAGGGCATTCTGAATCGAAATAAAAGCAAGGTGCAATCAGTGCTTGAAGATTGAGCGCTTTTTATTTTTTAAATGTGTTTCATTTATACGCCTAAAGCAGCTTCCCCCTAACTCCATATCTTTAAATAAAATGTACATCACCCATTATGCTTTGGTGCTGAGAATGTAATCTGTCTGGGATGTAAGAAGTCCGATTACAGATGAGATATTGGATAACATGATGGAATGCTCCACTGTATATTAAGAATTCTCAATGCACAGAGAAGTAGCATATCAGTGAGAAGACTGGTTTGAAGCATTATTCCCATCATTGTTTTTTAATGTTAAGAAAACAGTCATGTGTGCCCTTCACCTGAAGCGATGGACGCCAGACATGGACTCACAACTATGAGAACTGGTTATTACCTTAACAGATGACCTTTTTATAAAAACATCCAAGATAGAATATAATCCAACAAAATCATAAAACAAAAACCGAACCACCAGTAATCAAATCATATAAAAACAGTACAGCCAGTTGGCCACATCCTAAATCGATGGTAAGAAACTCACCAAGCCCACCCCCTGCAGTCCCCAAATCAGCCCCCTACCTTCTCTGAATGTTTGGCCCATCCAGTAATACATCCTCTGGTACATGGAGTCATCTTTGACACAATTAATATGGTGGAGCAAGAGAGGATTTCCTAGCACCGAGCCTATCCGAGAAGGAAACTGTAAAAGCAGTCAGAAGAAATTGCTCAGAAGGCAGTAGAGACTCCACAGCACCTACTTTGTTCCCTTGCACTCAGATAGAGCAGTCAAAACACCTGCGACTAGGCTTCACTCATAGATGCCCTCAGTTGATCTTTAACACAAGTTCATATTAAATTGGAATCATCACCATCAATTTCCAGATATATTAAAGATACGGCCCAATTTAGACCTACTTGACTTCTATTAGTGAAATGCTTTTTATACGCATAAGGTCAAATAAGCAGCATTTGTACTTTATTCTTGTACATTTTGGGACTTGATATCTGTCACTTACCTCTAAACGATGGATGTTCTGCAGAAGCTGAGGAAAGGTTTGCAGCTGGTCCACTGGAAAGAATCCAGTGCTATTTAACAGATCTGCGTAGTCTGACTTTTGCTTTTCAGCTAAGAAACCAGAATTGGTTTTACATGCAGGCACGGTCAATTTTGTATTCCATTTCTGTAGAGAGAGAAAAAAGCCCCCTTACCTTTACAGCTCCAAATTACCTTTGCAGGTTTACAGCCCCCTTACCTTTACAGCTCCACAGCTCCAAATTACCTTTGCAGGTTTACATTTTTAGGTCCTCAGCTCCCAGCTCCTCCTCATCTCACTTAGAAAAAAAATAGGCCCAAATCCTGCTGCCCATTTACTCTGGCATGAAGGAAACTGCCTAAGTCTTGGCAGCAGACTTCTTGTTTATCAATAAGGTGCTCTTTGCATTACTGGGTGTACAACCAGCATCTCGGTAACAAGCAACAATGTAACACCAAGATGTATGTGATTTCTAAGTGCAAAAGTTGACGATGACAAAAAACAACCCTATCTTTGCCCCCTTACAGTTTTCAGTTGTGTTGTGGTCCCCTATACCTGCTGTTTATTTTTAAATGTTTTAATGGTGGGGTGAGGGAACAAGAGAGCATGAGGAATTTTTAGTTAAAACATTTTCAGTTAATAAAAATGCATTATAGTAACCTTTACAATGTAGAACCACTGCACATATAATAATGATAATAACAACAATAACAGTAATAATGATAATAGTAGTAAAAGATGTAGTAGTAATAGAAGCAGAGGGATGTGGTGGCGCTGCGGGCTAAACCGCAGAAGCTTGTGCTGCAGGGTCTCAAGATGTATGTAATTTCTAAGTTGATGCCAAAAAACAACCACCCTATTTTTGCCCCCTTACAGGCCATGATATGAAGTTTTCAGTTGTGTTGTGGTCCCCTATACCTGCTGTTTGTTTTAAAATGTTTTAATGGTGGGGTGAGGGAACAAGAGAGCATGAGGAATTCTTAGTTAAAACGTTTTCAGTTAATAAAAATGCATTATAGTAACCTTTACAATATAGAACCACTGCAGATATAATAATGATAATGATAATAACAGCAATAACAATAATGATAATAGTAATAAAAGATGTAGTAGTAATAGAAGCAGGAGATGTAATAGTAAATTAATTATGAAAATTAGCCTCTTTGGCTATACCCCTCCACCTTTAATCCCACCCCCTAGAAGTACAGCCCTTGGGTTAATGGCAAATCTGAAAAGATAGTCCTTGGCTTCACTGAGATCACCCATTCTGGCCTGCAGTGTAAACTGTCAACCCAATGCCAGCCACCATATTATCCAATAATCTTTTTCTATGACAGTGTTTTCAGTGGTAAATCTACTCTGCAGTTTTCTGTCTTCCAAAAAAATCCCACAATGACTAAAAGCTTTGCAAGCTTTAGTAGTTCCATGCCATTTATGAAAGAAATCATCAAGTGAATTGTTTGAGCAATTGTCAGGTGCTATAAGTAACTGTGGTCTGGATGGGAGACTCCTGGAAACTCCATATAAACTGTTTCAAGAGAAATGCAATACCCACCCTCTTCTGGGACTGAAGACAGCCAGTGCCCGTGGGGTCTGGTTTAGAGGCAGGCAGTATCCCATGAACTCGCCTTTTTATTCTGCTGATTGCTGCCTTCCACAGATTCTCAGAATTCCTGAACCGTATCTGTATTAAAAACAGAATGATACTTTCATTCAGATGTAAAGGACTAGGATTTAGATGACAATTATTGCTGTTATGATGTCTGGATGGCAACAATCTTTTACTTTCCTAAAAGCGTGAACCATTAATAGATGACATCTTCCAGAACAGGAATTAATAAGGGCTTCAACATTTTTTTCTGCAACATCCAGAATCTGCCACTCTGCTTTTATGAAGCAGTAGACAGGTCAGTCAATATATACACCAATGTTTTGATACTCTGTCAGCAGGGTCACCTTCTTTGTGCTTAGACTTGGCAGGAGCAAATATCTCCACTGTCCAAAGATCCAACTGGCTACACCACCATACTTTGTGGTCCAGCGACAGGAGAAAATGTATCTGATTATGGTGACCAAATGCACATAATAAGAGGAAACACATCTTACAGAAGATGCATATGGCCTTGTCATTTAACTTTTATTGATGTGTTTAGATTGCTACACTTGATTATTATTATTTTCTTGGAAATTTTCTTAGTTTCAGTTTCTCTACCTGTTCTAAAATAAATAACCTGTTATTTTCAGCTTTTCTTAGATTACAGCTGTAGACTTGAGCATTGCTTTAACTGACACAGTGTCATTCTGAATACCAAAAAAGGACAGGATGAAATGACTTGAAAATATTAATCTCTTCAGAGGCTAAAAAACTGGAAGCCAAATTCTTAGATACAACAACATTTGGATCCCCTTGTCTGGAAGAGATGCCACTTAGGCAGGTTTAATAATTTCCAATACATGCTCAGTATGGACCAGGGAAAAAGAGATATTAGGCCATGTTATTAGTTATTTGCCATGCCAAGAACAGAAACTATCCATGCCTCTCCAAGAGCTACCCATATGGGTTTTTACAGCTATAATGTTCTTACAGCAACTGCAATGATCTCATGATCTTAACCTTTATTACTTTCACATTAAGCAACATTATACGCAAAGTTTACAAAATCGCAGTGATGTGCGATCAGTTCCACAAACACATCTTTTTGCACCACTAAAGAATCCCAGAACAAGTTCTCTCATGTAGAAAGCACAGTACAGTCCTCATTCTCCTCAATCCAATTCCTCACCTTTATTTTTGCGGGCAGAGTTACAGACACCATTTCAGGAGCAAAGCTCTTGTATATTGACAACAGAGCTTGCAGAGATGGGTCTGGTCCCTGGATAGGAACAAGTAGAGTTAGATGTTACATTTTTGTCATAACTCAACACAGTAGCTAAGAAAATATGAAATAAATAAAATAGAAGGGAGCACTGTACTCATGACCTCTAAGTACATTTTCAGAAGGAAGATGAGAATTATCTAAGGACTACCAAGAGAGGAATGGCATCAAAGAAAAGTAAAACTAGAAAAGCATTTGTTTCCTTCCTTAATTTTACACATACAAATTCCATGGATGATGTTAGCCATTTAACAAGTAGCTTTCATAACTAAGAAATATGTTACGAAGTAAAGGTTCAATCTGAAAAATTCTTCTAAAAATTCTTCTAAAAATTCTTCTTCTAGCTGTGACTTTAGTTCAAGTGACTCACCATTCTAGTCTGCAGATCTAGGAGTTTCCTCACACGAAAAGGTTTCACTAAGGAACACAACATAAATGAGTCTGTATAATTTTTTATTTGAGAAAGTTATATTTTGCCTTTTGTGTAAGCCTGCAGGCAACTCTAAGTAAAATAATAAAGGATCTTTGTTCAAAATGAAATGGTAGGTTAGACTCAGAACCACAAAGGCACCCAGATCCATAATGTTGCATGTACCATCTCCCCAAACTCTAGAGCACAGGAATAACATTACACTTTGGGGGGCGGGCGGAGGAATAGAGAGAACTATAGGGTCCTTTACACAATAGGAGAGGTGACACATTTATTTAGAGCACTAAAACCTAAACATTCAGTGACCTTTTGTGAATAAATTCACTTTCTCAGGAATACACCAATGTCTTGTGGACACTGCAGAAAAATTATAACTATACTTTTTGGTAGCAAATCTTAATGAGTTGTGCAGTCATTTTATACCAGCAAAATTGGCCCCTGACATTAATAAAACCAAATGCCTAGCTCTTTTGACAACAAGTGTGGGAGGAATTTTTTTAAAAAAGATCAATTTTGCAAGCATCTAATATGTGTCATGAATCCAATTAAGATCTTACCATTCTCTCTTCTGGTCAGCAAATAAAGCACGTGGCAGGCAAAGGGAAGCTGGAGAGAAAAATATTAAACAAAAGTAGTTAGTAGGGCAGGTTCCATACCCCACCCCAATATAATTACAAGCGGATGGTATTTAAATGGGCGGACTTTGTAAGATATGTTAGTGTCCAAATGACATTTTACCGTGTGATCTTTGCAGCAGATCTCATGGAAAAATGCAGTGATTTAAAAAAAGAAATAACCCACTTGTCAATTGTAACTTATTAGATGATTCTGCATAAGCAGCAGAGGAACATCTCTAGACAGCTGAAGAGTCGACTCAATATTATTATGGCAAATATTATGAATAATTACACCCTATTCAAAGAAGCAAAGCCTCACTCTTTCAAATAGTGTATTATTCATTTCTATCTTACCAGTTTTTCATCTTGCAAGAAACTGAAGAAGCAGCCATAGAGAGCATTCACTTTTTCCTTCTGATCAATGAAGTCAAACATGGCAATCAACCATTTTAAAAAGGTTATCTGACAGGAAAAAAAAATCAATTGTTCCATAAGAAAGAGCAAAGTCATAAAATTTTTTAATGGATTGTGTTCACAACCAAAAGGGATATAAAATATGTGCACTAGCAATTACTAACATAAACCAATAAGCAGGAAACATCACTAGTAAGAGCTGTGCTACATGAACCATGCTTGATTACCTGAGTACTGCGAGAACATTTGCCAACACAGAGCCAAGACACAGCTGAAACAACAGAATCCTCCATTATTGCTGACATGGGAATCAAGTTCTTCAGCAGTCTACTGTTTATCGCTTCAGCTGGAAGAAATTGATGTATACTGCTTAAATCACAAGATTATACTCACTACAGAAAATCTATCACAAGCTAATGGGGCAGAGGTAAAATATGACAATTTCAATGTTTTAATGACTGTTTAGTGCTAAGGGAAGGCAGGGAACAAGAATATAAATATGGTACCAAATTTGCCACTGAGTGCTATATTTAGTAAGATATCAATTTCTCCTGGTGCTAAGCCTCTTTCTTGGGCATTTTTTTCCACAGTAGTCAAATGTTTCTGCAGAACTTCATTCTTGAGGGGTGTCCGATCTTTTGCTGAAAGGTAAAAACAAACAGAGGCTGTTATACACTATCATTTTTATAAGCAGTCCCTCAGGATGGTTTTGCCTTATCAACACCTTATACCACAAACATCTTCTCCTACAGAAAAAAAGCCCTCCATCAACTCCCATCACAGTGCTATAGCATTTGTACAACTATGCAATTCCTTAGTTACCCTGCAAGATGGGAGTTATTATTAAACATAGTTACTGGTGTGCAAGACCTATAATAATCACATTAGGAAACATAACCTTCAAGAGAAAACAAAATTGTTCATCCCAAAACAAAATTGTGCTGTTTATACAAAGCCGCATAGCACTTGTAGCAATCTCTGGGTAGTTTAAAATCCAAACGTGCAGGCTACACATTGCCCCTCAGTAAGCTAGGTACTCAGTTTACCGACCTTGGAAGGAGGGAAGACTGAGTCTACCTTGAGCCAGCTACCTGAGCCTGCCAGGATCAAACTCAGGTCATGAGCAGTCTTTACTGCAGTGCAGCAGCTTATCAACTGCACCACAAGGCTCCTTCACCTATTCATATATATTTTTTTATTCTCAATGCAATATTTTTCATGCCTACCATAAAACATTTCTCATTGTTTTCATGTGAGCTTGTTCTGAGGTTTTTATAGGACCCCACAAAATGGAATAGGTGTTAGTGGTAGGGAAGTCTTTATATACCGTATTTTTCATTCCATAAGATGCACCTCTCCATAAGACACCAGTCTTTATATACGGTATTTTTCATTCCATAAGATGCATCTCTCCATAAGACACACTACATTTTAGGAGAGGAAAAGAGGAAAAAAATATTCTGGCAATTTCAGCCTGCTGGGCCCACGGGGGTGGGGGGAGCCTTAGAAGGGTCCAGGAGTGCCTTCCAGGACCCTTCCAAGGCTCCCCCCACCATCCCCCCACTGGGCCCTGGGGAGCACTGTTTTACAGTATTCGCTCCATAAGACGCAGACACCCCCCATTTTTGGGGTGGAAAAGTGCGCCTTATAGAGCAAAAAATTCGGTAATCCCCAAACATTTATTCTATAAGTAAAACAAAACAATAAAAAATACATATAGGAAGGTAAAGCAGGACATGAGAGCAAAAACAAAAGTGCAGAATAAATGATAGTTTACATAATAATCAATTTACTTGTAGATTAACAGTTCTGTGGTCAAGTCTGTCTCAATGTCTAGAAACCTAATGGTCTTCAGGGAAAGCTTGCATAAACTACAGTACTGCCGCTAGTTGACAAGGTGCTGATATGCATTTCAGTTGCACAGGAAGGTGTGTGACTGCTCACATGGCTGAAACATATTGCAGCATCTCATCAATTAGCCATAGCAAATAACACAAACTTTATACAAACACCAGAAGTATTCAGGGATTAATGTTAAATGGGAATTTTCAGTTCAGATAAGCTATTTTGCTCATATGTTCTGATATATAAAAGCCCTTTCTGTTCCACTGTTTCGACAAAAATATATTGAAAAATTTAAGTTTTGCTGTTTGCAAAGGACTAAAAGAAAAAACAATCAGAGAGATGAGACAGCTGAGGCATTGCCTGTTTTCTTCCAATCTTCATCTGTGAACAGTTGATTATGGAAAGTGTACATCTGCAACAGTTGCTTCTCACAAGGAAACATATCCTGTAAGATTGCTCCTGATCATCCTTTTATAGAGGAAACTGAGAAGTGTGAAAAAAACAAAAGGTCACAAGAAATTGACAAATAGTTCATATGTGTTCAACACAGGTAAAAGTTTGGGAGGGCATCTTGCAACAAAAGAAATCCTAAAACTGTGGCTTTCAACAAAATGTTTGATAGAGCACTATACAGGAAATCTGGAAAATGTTTGTCAACACAAAATTAGTGCTCTTACAAGTCACTTCTGTCATGGCAACCTTATGAATGACAGACTTCCAGAATGACTAAACTTCCTTTATTCAACACAGGTAAAAGTTTGGGAGGGCATCTTGCAACAAAAGAAATCCTAAAACTGTGGCTTTCAACAAAATGTTTGATAGAGCACTATACAGGAAATCTGGAAAATGTTTGTCAACACAAAATTAGTGCTCTTACAAGTCACTTCTGTCATGGCAACCTTATGAATGACAGACTTCCAGAATGACTAAACTTCCTTTATGGAATCAATCACATGGCAATCTATATTTGTATGGTGAGTGTTGTGTATATTTTAACTTTTTTTTGTAGTGGTGTTGTCCAGTTTTACCTTGGGGAAGAGCACCTCATTTCGTTGCATCCACTTGTGAGTGCAATGAAAAATAAATTTCTTATGCCTTATGTCTTATGTATGACTGACTTCCAGAATGACTAAACTTCCTTTATGGAATCAATCCATCTCATATTTGGTCTTCCTTATCTCCTGCTGCCTTCAACATTTACCAGCTTTGTCTCTTCCAGTAAGTTTCGCCTTTTCATGATGTGCCAAAGTATGGCAGCCAATGGGGATTTTTCTTCCTTAGCTCCTTATCTACATGTTGATAATTTTTTGTTGTTGTTGTTACATCATGTCTGACTCTTTGTGACCCCATGGACCAGAGAACGCCAGGCCGTCCTGTCCTCCACTACCTCCCGGAGTTGGGTCAAATTCATGTTGGTCGCTTCGATGACACTGTCCAACCATCTCGTCCTCGGTCGTCCCCTTCTCCTCTTGTGTTCACACTTTCCCAATATGAGGCTCTTTTCCAGGGAGTCTTCTCTTCTCATGAGATGGCCAAAGGATTGGAGCCTCAGCTTCAGGATTTGTCCTTCCAGTGAGGACTCGGGGTTGCTTTCCTTTAGAATGGATAGGTTTGTTCTCTTTGCAGTCCAGGGGACTCTCAAGAGTCTCCTCCAGCACCACAATTCAAAAGCATCAATTCTTCGGCGGTCAGCCTTCTTTATGGTCCAGCTCTCACTTCCATACATCACTACTGGAAAAACCAGTATCTTTACATCAGGGGTTGGCAACCTCCAGAATGTTGGGAGGCCACATAAACCTACCTGTGGAAATTAAAGGGTTGTGTCCACTCCTGCACAACATGTGGGGGGAGGGGACACTTTATAATTGCTTTTTTTGTAAACTGAAACAATTTCCTTGTATTCTCCAGGGTCTAAAATACAGTACTTTTTAAAAAAAATGAATATGTTTTTTGGTACGTAAAGGGCCCCAAGAACCCTAAGATGCCAAGAAAACACGACAAAATTGCCCAAAGAAGAATTTGAGAAAAAAAATTTCTTCCTCCCTGCCCTCAAAATTTAAAGATCATGTGACCCAGCCCTGCTCTACAGGATTATAATTTGCAGGACCTGCAACACCAACTCCCATAACTTTCCCCCAGAACTTTGGAAAATATTTTTTCCATGACCTGCTTTCTCCAATGGAAAATGACTACCTTGAGTAAAGTTTACATTTAGACTTAAGTTTCTTTTCCTATTTCCTCCCTCTGTTGTTATTTTCTATCTTTCTTGCTATATAAACAAATGATGCAAGTAGAGGTCTGGGGGAAAATGGAGACCACCATAGCTTATGGAATGCACATTTAGTCCTCATGTGTTCTTACTTTTTTCCAAATAGTTCAGAGCTTCTTCAAGAGGATCTTGGTAATGGTCTGTCTCTTCACATGTAGACCTCTGCTGCTCTCCATATTTTTTTGCACTTTTGTGGCCAGTGTTCTTTTTGACACTTGTTGTCCAAACTGAAAGATCAGTTTGTTTACTAGAACTAACTGGCAAGGCTTGCTTTGACTTCTTAGCACTTACGCCTTTCTTCATCCTTTCCAAGTCCAAGGAAAGAAGTGCAAGACACGGCCAGTTATTGTCATTTGTCAGTATTGACTTTCTCTTCAACAGTATCCAGGCTGTATGCCAAAACTGAGTGGGGAACTACCTGCAAGAGAAGGGAAACGATCCTAAATACCTCTGTGAACCTAATTAGCTTACAATAGTAGTCACAACAAAGCAATCTTTAGGAAAGTGTAAGAGTTCCATTTTAAAATACACAAAAGAATACACAGATGTATACATCTGTTGCTTCTTCCCCCCCCCCACATGTTCTAGTGTTTATATACCACTCAGGGTAACTAGCAAGCAATACAACGAATATAATAAAAAATATATACTGCATAACATGCAAAAGTTTATGACTGTCTAAATAGGAAGGTTGTCACCATAAAGCAAATTGCAATGAAAAAAGGGTGACAGCTTAGCCTCTGTAGGGAAGGGAATTTCAGGGGTGTGCAACCATTTTTTTTCAGCAGTACCATAATTTGGATACTATACAGACAGACAAGTATTGCAACAGTTTCAAATATATTCTGCTCCTAAGCCAATTAGGGCTTTAAGGGTCATTACCGATTCTTTGAATTGTACCTGGAACCGAACAGGTAAGTACTGCAACTTTGCAGGCAGTAATAAAGTGCTCCTTAAGCAAAAGCCCAGCAACATTCTCACTGTGGTATTTTGGACTGACTGCAGACTCTTCAAAGGCACAGAATAGGTTTCTGGAATACTAATGAACTTCTCTTTACAAAGTAAAGTATTTGAGTATTTATAGCTACAGGGAAAGCTTTTGTCTTTTTTCAGGAGATAGGGTGATCAGCATTGCACAAAAAAAGACCAGTTAATGACACCCATCAATCACAGTAACAGATAATCTCTCCCTCATCACAACAAAAAACATCCTGAGCACCCTATCTCCTGAAAAAAGACAAATCACAACAAAAAACATCCTGAACACCCTATCTCCTGAAAAAAAGACAAAAGCTGTTCCCACAGCTATAAATATTCAACTATCCAACAAACAGCAACAGAGCATGGACAGAGTTCCTACATCCAGTCCTCTGAAGATGCCGCCAACAGAGACTGGAGAAACATCAGGAAGAATAACCTTCAGAACACGTCTAAAGAACCCAAAAATCCACAACCATCAGATCCTGGCTGTGAAAGCCTTCGAGCATACATACAGTATCTTATTTACACAAAAGAGCTTAGTTGGGAAATAATTGTTGAAATCCTGTTAGACAGCTATGCCATGCAAGCTTGATGACATCCTTTTCTTTACACGGTATAACTGCACAAACAAGATTTCAGCCAACAAAACTTTAGACCATAATTTAGCATTAGGGCAAAATGTTTTGCTTCCCTACAAGCTTAAGCACTTTCCTTTCCCCCCATCCCGCTACACTGTGCTTGTTTTATAGATTTTTTAAATCTGTTTTGAGTCATCATGGATTCCTATGGGGAGAAAGGCAGCACCTACACTGGGGTCCACAAGTTCTCCACCTATGCCTCTACAGTAGTTTATTTATTTTCTATGCCACTTTTCTCTCACTTACAGAACCAAAAGTGGCTCACAAATTATCAATAAACAAAGCAGTTTAAAGCACAGCAAATTATGTGTTCAGACATATCAAGCATTAAGCTCAGTTGTAGCTTGCCTATACTGTATATAGAAACACAAGACAATAATATAGAGAAATTGTAAACACTGGATTCAACTCTCAAGGAAATACAAAAGGTTTGGTCTCCCATAACTGAGCTGATGATAAACACAACAATTGTTCATAACAACCATTCTAAATTTGCCAATTTATTTAAACTATGTATGACAATAAGCCTCCGAGACAGTCTACAAACCATTTTTTTAAAATGAAGTGCCCTACCAGAGATTTGCAGCAGAGTTAGTTGTTCAGAGTCCCAAAGGTGATGGTAGGCAAAAAAAAGGATCAGAGGAAGGTGCAGTAGAGGTTGGGCCATTCAGGAAAACGGGGCATCATCTTGCTGGGCCCCAACTGCTGAACCCCTAGCCCAATTGGGGGGGGAACAGGGAAAAAGAAAACGAGAGAAGCGAAGTGAGCAGAAGGCAGGTTGTTCTTTATTGGAAGCCGTACTTCTCCCTCCCTCTCTCCGAATATATGAGTAAATAAGCGACCTATGGATGTAAATTCCACCGCCGGGCGGCCTTTCCCAGGGGAAGGTGCCCCTCGACAACCACGCCAGCCCTGAGGGGCCACACAAGTCAGATTCCTGTCAGGCAACCTTTCCGTTACGAGCCTTTCGCGGGGCCTGACACAACCACCGGCTCCTTCCCGCTTTCGGCAGCGTCGCCCCCTCAGCCTCAGACGGAGGCACCGGGCCCCTCTGAGGAAGGGCCTCCGCTTCCCCTTTGATATAATTAAAAACCTCCTTCTTTCTCGACCCGCGACGCCTCCCGCCTTTCGCCCCACCGTAAAAGCCTACCTTCGCCTTCCCTCTCACCACAATCCCCTCAACACGCCCTTCTTCCTAACCGCCCTCCAGTTCAAATTTTCCCCCCTTTGCGCACGCGCCGGAGTGGGGCGGGGCCAGAAACTCGTCCAGTAGTCTTCGGTACGGGGGGCATGCGCAAAGCTTCCTCTTGCCCCCCTCCTTTTCCCTCGGATGCGGCACCAAACGATGATCTCATTAGAGAGACTCCCGACGCAGACCCCGAAGCGGAAGCGCGGGGGGGGGGCTCTGGCGTGGAGTCTAGCAGAGGCGCGCATGCTCACTGGGGACGGGAGCCAATGGGCGGGTGTTGCTAGCAGCGGGTGTTAATATTGCTGTATGGAAAGGTTGCGGAGCATGTTGGAGAAAGTACTTTTATTTCTCTGTAAATCTGTTATTTATTTAAAACATTTCTATCCCGCCTTCCTCCTTATTTGTGAGCAAATTACGTTATTAACAGATACAAAAAGATAGCCTCATCCGTCGTTTCACAGGGCATTTTCCATGTGGTGCCTTATGGTGCTCCTATTAACACTGTACAGTACTCAAATTTTTCAGGTTTCATCGTAGATCAGAAACCTGCACCCTTTAACCCCAAGAAAGGAGACAAGGCTTTCTGGTGTAGCTTAATGGCTGCCAAAAGTGGCAACTTGCAGTAAGTCCCATGAAACATGGAAGAATTTCCTTCCAAGCAAAATTTAATTAAGCTTTTCAGATGCCCTCCTGTCGTGGATTTCACTAGGTAGCTTTAGGCTGCCCATCCTAACTCAGCCTTTTTATTTCCCTTCCGATTCCCTGCAATATGGTTGAAAACCGGCGGGTTGTTGGGAGACTCAAGATTTTTACCCCCGGTTCATATAACACAGGCTCAACTAGTTCTCAATTCAGTTTTTAAAATCGAGTAGTTATAATTCAGCTCATTAAGCTGCGCAAGTTAATTACACCATTGTTTTTCTGATAAAGTTAAAAAGACCAAATGTTATACTCTATAGAATTGTTCATTGCAAAAAGCTGAAGAAAAAAGTCTGTGATGGCAGACTGCCAAGGAAGACATAACAGACTTTTAGATTCTCCATGAAACAGATATAATAAAGGTATGGATTTTCAGGTTCTACACCTTACTAAAATGAAGGCCCAGCTTGGACTCCCACAGATTTCCTCGTTGCCCTGCCATGACACCTCAAACTTCTGTAAGAGGCATGCAGCACAAAAATACTAGTGGCAGTCAACAAAATAAGAGGCAAAAAAATCTTCTTGACTTTTTAGTCAATTTTAAATGTGTGGTACCTTTGATAGTAGACCGTCAGAGATAATACATTTGACATGCTCAGAGGCTAACATAATGTCTTTCATTGTATACCCGTACCTTGTAGATTCATTGTATGCTTATACCTTGTAGATTGATCTATGTAACAAATTGAACTAATATGCTTTATATTTAGCAACTAAGACAATGCTTAACAGAAAGTAGTATTCTGATTGTTGAAATGTTTCAAAATGTATCCCGTCGGCAATGCATCACAGATTGCTGAAACTCATTATTGATAAGAGGTATCTTTGAACAAGTCCGTCAAATGCATATCCTGAAGGTTGGCCAGAGACAAACCTAACACCCTCAGACAATAGGAGGGGGGAACCATGAGTTTACATTTCAAAGGGTACACGATGCTAGTTTCCATCTCTGAATGTGAGATAGGACAGACCACAGGAAACATTACAGGGTAATATAGAACAACATCCCTGCATAGCTATAGATATTTGGCTCCCTTCTCTAAACAGAATAACAACTGGGTCATTCAATCCTAAGCAGACGAAGCCCTCAAGGATGTTTATGGAGACAAATGCCCCAGATGGGTGACCCTAATATGCGTGTGGAGGAAACGAAAACACTTCCAATCTAACAACTTTGAACCTTTTACATATACATAGAAATGTAACATAAACATGAGAAGGGAGATAAAACTGACACGAGGGCACAATATGGGCATCGTATTCCGGCCAATTAGGAAAACCCACGGAATCTCTCTGGCCAATAATCAGGAGAAATTTAGGTTAAGGGTTTAAAGAACCAATCAGGTCAAGACCTCTGCAACACCCTATCCCCAACGCTGTATATTGAAACTTATATAATGATTATGCTTCTCGTTGTTCGGGGCTCATCTCTGATTTTAGGAGATTGGGCCCTAGCTGTGTATTTCAATAAATTGGCATAATAGACAGCTGGTCTTTGCATCTCAGTCTGTGTTCTTCGCCGGATAAAAAGGACCCGTTTTGGGGAGTAACAACATACTGAGAATCCCTTTACATATTTTGTTGGTAGGATGTACTGTACTCTGTAATGGGTAAACCTTTGGAAAGATTTCTCAAGTACTTGGCATGAATGTACATCCATAATTTCCCATCTGGCATATAGGAAGGATCTCCTGAACAAGTTATGCGTAGAGGTTGAAAAGTTAAGATTTTAAAACTGATTTGTTATTCCTTGAACTCTAAGGCCACAAAAGTAGTTAACAGTCAAAAAGTTTATTTTTTTGAAAGTAACACTTTACTTTCTCATTTCCTAAAGGAACTACAACATTGGCCAGCACTACACTAAACTTCCAACTGAGCAGAAATTCTCCCCACCATAGCTAAGGTGGAATTGGGCCACTTGTGCAGACATCACTGCTCCACAGGCAGCGATCTCAATGAACAAAAGTCACCGTCTATTGTACTTGTGTTGCCTCAATGCTTCTGCAAATGGACTTACTTCAGAACAAGCAGTTTGACAGTACACGGTTCTACCAGTGCAGTAACAAAACAGTAAAAAAAAACAAAAAACCCAGACTCTCCTCCCATCCACTTTGTCAGGACTTCACACACAAAACAGAGGGTCTCAGCTACTTGAGCCATGTCATATTTCTTCTTCACAGTCAAAGGTTTACTGTGTAGTACATGGGCCAGTTACAGATACACCCATATGTGTAAACGAATGACTGCCTCCCTTATTCAGTTGCAATAGTAAAATAACTTTATTGTTGAAAACAAATCGTATTGACAGTTAACTTGTTATTTTTAAGGAACCACTTCAAAACTATGGTGATTTGGGACCATGTTTAGTCTGTTTTTCCTAAAGGGAAACATTTGTAGCTTTGAGGAAATTTCCACCTCAACAACAGTGAGACTTAGGAGCTAGCTATTCCATCCTTTTCTATAATGAGTTTTGCTTTGAGGTAGAAAATGTTTCAGTAATTTGCTTTATTTCATTCAAAATACAGTGTGTGTCTGAGTCTTCCAGAACAATGTGCTCATTTTTATTTAGGAAGATTGCCTTTAAAGTTTCCCCCGCTAATCATTTGAGAATAATTAGTAGAATATTTTCCACCACGTTCAGGGAAAGCATATCAGCTATCAAGGTGAGATGAAATAATCAAATCCCCCCTTATAAATTCTGGAGTTTCTAGTTTACCTCTGTGCTTTCAAGAAATTAACAAATTGCAGCAGGTAGATATAAAGTGTCTTTGCTACAGCACACACATAACATTGAACAACATACAAGGCAGTTTTCCTCCAAATTTCAAAAAAGTTTATTTTTATAAATTAAGGGGGAGAAAAAGAAGGGTGGGAGGAAGAGGATGCAAACAACAATACGAAGAAAGGCAACATACTTTTTAAAAAATTATATTTCGTATGACAGCTTAACTTTTCCTCCCCCCCCCCAACAAGCTCAGCACGAACACAATGGAAACAGCTTTTTACTAGAGGCTGTAGCATGTCTTAGCTCATTAGGTTCTTCTGTGGGATGGGATAGGAATCCTTTTCTTAGAGTCAAGCCCTCCCCCTCCCACAGGAACCTGTCACTCTTTTAAAGTCAAGGTGAACGGATGGCAAGACGAAGCAGGTTTATGTGTAGGCGGAGAGTGAGCAGTCGATGGCCTTTTGACAGCAACACAGACAGGTTTGGGAGAGGTGACAACTCCAAGGCTCATTACCAGGTATACAGTGTTCTGTATTCCCTGTGGAGAGTGGTGGATGGGTTACACCATTTCGTTCATGTGAAGCAAGAAAAAGGGGTTCCTCACTCCGGTGCTAGTGCTGGGCAAAGAGAGGAAAAGACTGGGCCAGTGTGCAAGCACAGGACTAAGAGTTTCCTTCCCTCCCCTTACACCCCTAAAGAATACAGACTGGTTCAGAGGCAGGTTGAGTTGAACAGTTAAACCACCTCCCTCCCTCTCATTCATACATACACATAGACATGTGCACACACATACTCAACATAAGTTACACTGATTTCCCTCTAGATCCATTAAATTAGGTCAAGTCTACACATGTGGGGAAAGGTACAACAGAGAGCAGCTCTAGACGCTTGAGGTGTATAAGCCAAGTTGTTATTTAGCTGGCAAACTTAAAGGTTTACCCCATGCTCCAATACGTAACCCTTTACAAAACCAGAAAAGAAAAGAAACAAAAATCTTTTTAAAGGTGTTTTGGGGAGAGAGCTGCATGGAGGGTCCGTGTGTCCCTCAAAGGCACCCCACTAGGACACCTTGATTTTGCCCTTCTCTGGGACGGCGTCTGCAAGAAGGGGTTGCTCCTCTCCATTCACGGCCAGGGTCCTCTTCTCCGGCAGCTGGTCTTCCGGCTGGCGGGCGATGAGTAGGCGGCAGGTAAGCAGGATCCCAAAGACCAAGGCATGGGCATAGCGCTTGAGCGGGTCACCCACCAGCTGGTGGAAGAAGAGCACAGCCAGGACCAGCAGCAGCAGCACAAAGTTAGCTACATCCTTGGGACGGCCAGGAACCAGTGTCATGACAATGCCGCAGGCCACCTCGAGGGCGCCGATGCTCTTGCGGAGAATGATAGAGCTGACCCCCATCTTCTTAAGCATGGGCAGTGCGCGGACATAGCTCTTGTAAGCTCGCTTCTGCAAGCAAAAGAGCAAGAACATGGAATTCGGCATCAGTTGGGACCTGGAATATACCTTCCTTCTCTCTCACAGACACATGTACAGGCCAGAGGTTTCCATTAACACCCTGCAAAGTTCTCAGAAGGTAACTAAAACAGCATGAACTGAGGCAAGGTCCCTCCTGCATTTATATTACCCCATATCATTGAATATTTTCTGCTAAGCACTAAAAGCCTTTTGCACATGTAGGAGCGATGAGAAAGCACAACAAAACCGACCTATTTAAAGTGGCTGGCTACATGAAACCATGTTCAATGCCATGTAAATATGTTTCAGCATATATAACAAAAATAGCTTTGTGCCACCTTGAAGATTAATTTTAGAGTGAGGTTTCATGGATTACAATCCACTTCTTCAGACACATGAAGTGCAACACTATATTTTATTCTGGCCTTAAAACACTAATTTTCCCCATCAGAACAGAATCCAGTGCTTCAGCACTTCAAAGGCTGAGGACTAAGCTTTGTGGATTAGCTGACAGCCTTTTTGCATTAGCCCATTTCTATTGCCAGGATATCTATGTAATGAACAATCTGAACATTCATTACTTGTGTTAATAAGGCAACTGTCATCTTCTTTCTCTCACTGCATTTGGACCTTATCTCCTCAACCATGTACAGTGTGTATAAAGGCCCCCAGGGGTCTCATATATTTATTTATTTTACACCTAGTTTTCAGAACATGCAGCACACTTAGGCTGATACACCACAGTGAGACTCATGTCTGAGTGGAAACAGAGAACTGGATTATCAGATACACTGTTTTCCATTTTTGCAGCCTCTAAAACAACAGTGCTTATAGTTCATAAGCAAAGAGCAAACAACACCACTGACCACATACAAACGTCCATCATTCATGGATCCTGTCTCTGTTTATCCAAAAGTTGATGTTCTTGTCATAGGAACACAGTAACGACTAGCCCCACGTCTGGTAGATTTAGGCATACAAGGATGAAGTTTCTGCCACATCTAATTTGTCCCCACATGTCTACAGTACCTCTTGAAGGGGTGGGAGATAAGCCACTGAGACTTTATGGAATTTAGAGCCAAAATTACTTTAACACTCCAGAGGGGTGCTGAACAAATAGGATAGGCTTGTAATGTTTCAGTGCAATCCTATACATTTCAACACAGAAGAAATTCCAGGTTAGAGTCTTTGTTAATTGATTGATTGATTGGTTAACTAAACAAACTTAATTACTGTACTTAAAAGGCATCCCTTATAAACAGATATTTTAAAGGTGCAGATATTTTTTTTTAAAATATAAGTACTGTACATATAAATTTAGACAGGCCAAATACCATTTTAAGAGTAATTCTCTGAATCAGGGAAACTATCTTAGATGATGTCTGGCATGTATGTATTCACTGTACAAAAACACTATTTTTTTCTTTAGAACAATTGGTTTTCTCCTATGCAGATTAAAATGGATTAATCTTTTAAAATCAACCACCAATAAATTTAGACTTATTTTATGAGGAACATCTGTAACTACTAATTAATAGCTAATTATTTAGCCTAATTAATATCTATATTATCTAAACCATAATTGGAAGATTGGCTTCTTTTGCTATCCCTATTTCGAAAGACAATTTTTCTTTTCTTATTAATTGCATCCTCAGTAGTTAATTTTCAAAAGGAAAAAAAGTTGCCAAACTCCCACATGCCAGGATAGCAGCCTTCTTTGGGTTGGAAGTCTTGTCCTAGTTATGCCGGCTAGTTGCCCACTCATTCTACACATCACTAACATTTCCATTAGGGTTCATATCAGCACTCTATCCCAGTTAATAGTATTTATCTATGAACATCACATTTACTATGTCAATGGTCCCCAACCTTGGGTCACCCAGGTGTTCCTGAACTGTAATTCCCAGAAGCCTTTGCCACCAGATGTGCTGGTTGGGGTTGCTGGGAGCTGCAATCCAAGAATATCTGGGTGACCCAAGATTGGGAATCACCGAATTATGCCATTGTTTTTCCTGTTATTAAAAAAAAGGAGCTGCTCATGGTTCTTGAGATCTGCTTTTTGGTGACTGCCATTTTGTTTTCATTACAAATCCCAGGGTGTTGTATCACTCCAGGACATTTGGGGCTGTGGGGGAAGGGTGGCCACTGCAAAATGGCAGCCTAATGAAGTGACTGTTTTTATCATGATGGTATGTTTGAGACATCTGGAAAAAAAAATCAGAAAATGGCTTCTGGGTGCGCCTGTGAAACCCAGAAGGAACACTAGCCTTGTCACTTGTTTTGTAGCAAAAGACAATGGAACCAAATTAGGTCCATTCCATTCCACGTTTAATTTGTTTTGAAAGAAATATACACACTCAGTTTGGGAAAGCTAGGATTTTTCCCTTGGGAGAGGCACCAAAAGCAACATGGCTAGTAAAGACTCTCTAGAGGTAGAGTTATTGAGAACTTCAACAAAAACTAGTTAGCCAGTCTTCCCATACTTGGTTCCCCTCAGATGTAACGGACTACAAACCCTATCACCTTGAGCTAGAGCAGGAAGGATGGATGGGGACCATTGGAATTGTAATCCAACATAAATAGAGGGCACTGGAATGAGGGATATGTTAGCAGGCTAATTTTCTCTCTCTTGCTTCCATAATTTGGAAATTCCAAGCTCCCACTGAAAAAAATGAGCCAGCTCTCCCAGTAGAACAGGGATAGTACTAAAAGAAGAAGGCACATTTTCCAGGCTTCTTCATCATCACCATCCTCTGGAGACTGGGAGATGTGTCAAGATGGGGAGCAGTGGAAAGAGTGGAACAAAAGTTAGGCTACTATGGTGTCCCCATTTTTAAAACGGGAATATCATCCTGGCTTTCTGTGTTTAAAAGTCTGTGGCAAAAAAGAAGAAGAAGCTGTTAATAGTGATGCTGAGGAAGAAGGACAAAATGCACCAATAAATAAACAAATCAGCGAAAGACATAGTAACGAGAGCACCCTGTTTGTGAACCGAAGGGTCTCATGGCCGTTTCACGGTCAGCTTGAGGCGATTTAACGTGAATGCGCCTGCCCTTTTTCGGCTTTCTTCTCAACCAACTTTGCCAGCCCTCCAGGGAGTCCGCTTGGCAGAGAATGGCAGAGATTCATTCCTCCGACATTTTTCAGGGCCCGTGGTGAGGCAAAAAAAATAAAATAAAATTAGAAATGCTAGAAAGTTCCACGGTGGTTTTCTCAAGACTCCCAGGCGTTCCAGCCATTTCAACGGCCGAACATGCCACAGATAGGCAGGGCCACAAAAAAAGATGGCTGGACAGCCTGGACCGATCCGGTGGTGGGGATAGATCCACCTGGATAGATCCCCCTGAGGGGCTCACTCTGGGCAAGAACAAGGAAAGGCCAGAAAGCTCTCTTGGTGTGTGTGTGGGGGGGGAATAAGAGGCTGCATCTCCTCTTGTAGCAAGAAATCCCCGGCTAATGAAGGACCCACAGCTTGCAATGTTCCAGAACCTTCTCTTGGGAAGAAAAAAAAAAGGGGGGGGAAGGCAGAATAAGACCCCATCGCCTTTTGACAGACAGAACCCACGGCACGTCTGCACACCTCCAGCGACACATTAGCATCCCGCTCGTCCTCTCACCATCATCCCCCCCACAACAGATCGGGCAATTTGTCCCCCCCCCGGGATCTGCTGGCGGCCAAGGCCTCCCTCCTCTCCGACAGGCTGGCTGGCTCTGTTTTTCCGGGCAAAGAGAGCGGAATCCTTTAGGGGGAGCCCCCCCTCGCCCCCCCACGGGGGGTGAACCGCCCTCCCCACAAGCCTCGCTGCTCCTGAATGGGTCCCCTCGGAAGCCGGGCCGCTCTTCCAGCAGACAAGCGGGGGGGGGGTTGCGTTTGTGTGTGTGTATGTGTTGTGCCCTGCTCCCTCTCCACCTCCCCCCCTCCCGCCTCCTTTCTCCCACCCCCCCATCCCATAGTATTGCCTGCCTGCTTTGCTCGGTGGGGGTGGCAAGCAAAAGAACGAGCCTGAGAACGAAATGCCCGAAGGATGCAAACTCCAAAACAGAGGATCTGAGCAGATCCAGGAGTTCCCCCCCCTGCTCCCAGGCCAATCCGGCGAGGGATGCCCCCCCCGGCTGCCACCAGCCCCCCACCCCCGGGGACCCGTTCCCCTTCTCCCGCCTGCCCTGCTCTCTGCGGGACTTTCTCCCCAGCCCTGCTCCCTCCGGGGCTGATCCCGAGCGCCCGCAAGATGTCCTCCCCCCCGGCCAAGAGCTGCCCGGAGGACGGGCTCTCTCTCTTACCATCTCGTGGTAGGCGTCCTTGCTGAGCCTCGGGGTCAGCTTGATGGTCCCCATGAAGACGAAGAAGAGCCCCAAGGCGACCGAGAGGGCCACGATGGTCACCGTCCGGGGGGAGGCCATGGGGGGGGGGGATGTCACGGCGCTGGTCTGGCAGCCGGTCTGGGGCCGGAGTGGGCAGTCACCATGGAAGGCGGTCGGGAGGGAGGGAGAGGGGAGGCTGCAGAGAGGCAACGAGGATGACAAAAGAGAGAGAGAGAGACACACACACAAACACACACGCACACACACACACACAGGGGGGGGCAAGCTGCCTCCCTTGCTCAGCCACCTCTGGGTCCTAACATCCCCCTCCCAATCTGATCCACTCAGAGGGTTAAAACCAGGCATCCAAAAATACCTTTAGGGATGAAAAGACAGGGCCCCGGTGAATGGAGGAAGCCGCCGTCCTGAATCACCTTGGCTGCCCGTTGGCAAGATCCACCAGGGCTGGAAATAAAATCTGGAAGAAGAAAAAAACACAACCCTTCCGCTCCCAATTCTATCACACTGCAGTTTCAATGGCAGTCAAGTTTCTCTCGTGGCAGCTGTTTCTTTTTCTGTTCATGCAGTGGCTAAGAAGAAGGGTTGTTATCCTGGCCCCTCAACCAGCTACAGAAAGGAGATGGTGACACAAGAGGGATACCTGTTCTCCAAACCCCCCCTTCAAATAATAGCAGCAGCAGCAGCAGCAGTAGTTATAATAATTAGAATTGTAGCAGGAGTGTCATCACGACTGTGATCATAGTGAGGGTTGGTTGGCTCAAGGCTAGACTGTTGGATGTGAACTTAGGAGAGAGGCAAGTTTTAGCCCCTAGTTAGCCATGAGTGAAAGCAACTGGGTGCCCTTAGCTCTTTATATCCCAGCCTGGCCTTCCTTGCAGGGTTATTGCAATGATAAAGGAGTGAGGAGGATTTCATACAGGCAACCTTAAGCTCACAGAAGACAATGCAGGAGAAAAAGGTAAGAAATAGGTTGGTCACCTTGTGATCAGGTAAGTCTAGTGGACTCTTGGTAGAGCATAAATGTGGAAGACCTTCTAGTAGGAGGAGAAGTCACTCACCGATCAAGGATCTCTCCCTGGAGTGGTCCAAACGTCAGTCCATCCATTCCTTTCCTCCTCTTGGCTCATGGCTGCACTCTTCTTATCCTCCCATGGCACAGGGGAAGCCCCAGTTGTCTGTAGAACAGATTATTTAGGGCTTGCCACAACTACATAATTACTGAGATAATGAATGCTTCAGTGTTGTGTGCACCTTAATAATAATGACAACAATGATAGCAGGTAATCCCCAACCATGGCTGAAAAGTGACACAATTTGAACCCTGCCAGTTAACTCTGTAGCCAATAAATTACTGGGGCTAAAAAGTGGCAGGGCGTGCTTCTCGTTCGTTTGTTAACAGCTTGACTGCAACACAAGCAAATATAGGCTGTGCCACGGCTCTGCCCCACACCCCTGGTTTCCGTGGGGCTTGCATCAGAGCTGTTCAAGGTTGGCTGCCTTTATTTTGAGGTCTGTGTGTTGAAGATCAAAGGTGATGGTGGAAAAAATAACAGTGCAGGAGACCCCCCCCCCCCCGGTGTCAGCAAAGAGTCCCATTTCCAAAGCTCAAAACAAAGAAACGCTCACATGTAATTGAGTTGTAACGTCTACCCTTCCTCACCATCTCCTATCCAGATAAGGATGAGAGGAGATACAGTCCAGTGAGGTCTGGAAAACTGGTTCTCCACCCTCAGTGGCACTAACGCATGAAGATGCCTAACAGAGAACAAGAATGGTTTATCCATAGTATGTACTCTGGCTGGTGACTTCAATTTCAGACGTGCTGCAAATCCATCTGCGTTTTAGTCTGTACTTCATAGAAGGAAAAAAAAAAGGCACCACGGGAAGTTAAAGATTAACTGCTATATGCTAAATATGCCACAACACCTTCCCCCATTTGTCTTGTTGTATATTTCTTGTTGAAATGCTTGCACATACACGGCTACCACTTCGAAAACTATTTCACAGGAGTTATTGATGGTGCGGCTGAACCTATTTTTGGGGATTGCATTCAGCACCTTGGAGAGTTCCTGGAAAATGCAGATTGTGACTCGTAGTGCATTCACAGGACTTGCAAAAAACCCCACCCACCCCCTTTCTGGCATACTCTATTGATGGTGCCGCTGAACCTATTTTGGGGATTGCATTCAGCACCTCGGAGAGTTCCTGGAAAGTGCAGATTGTGATTTGTAGTGGATTCACAGGATTTGCAAAAAAAACACCCCACCCACCCCCTTTCTGGCATACTCTTTCTTCCAGCCTTGTTGTGCATGTTTCTTTAGCTGGAGACATAAGATGAGGGAGACAGCAACAGACCATTCCCGACCCTCGGAAGCCAATGCCTCCTTCTCTGCCATAGCCATGTGGGGACAGTGAAAACAAACCCCCCTCTTCCTAGAATGCCAAACCAAACAGGAACCCTGTTCCTGCCTGCCTATGATGTGGCAAATAGGTACCACTATTGTGTCTGAAGGGGGCTCAACAACCCAATAAGCGGGCAATGTTAGGTCAGGTCTTGCTTAAAATGTTGTGGATCACAATACAAATCGCAATTGTTTTACCATAGGCATGGGTAAAACACAGCTCTCAAGTAATTTTTGTGCATCCACCCAGCCTTTTCCCCCCTTTTCCAACAAGAAAAGGTGAACAGCAACTCTGGAAAACTTCCAGAGGTGGAGATTCACTGTAAAATAGCTCACAGACCTCCTTCCATGATTAACATCCAAATACCCCTTTTCCAAATACCCATTTTTTTCAGAAAGTGCCTGGAAGCTTACTTTTTTGTTTTAATGTGCACCTGGGTTTTTTTGGTTGGCTGTGTGGCCCCCAAAGGGTGCTGGGGGCAGAAGGCTGTTCCCCGGACTTACTAAACCTGCCCATCCCTACTCTATGGAAACACAGCAGCCCCTTGCAGGTTTTTGTTAGGTCTTCAGGAATGGGTGTCAGCCCTGCTTCCTGAAATTGCCACCGCCTGAAGATCTGAGGTGCATACAGAGCTCTTCTGATCAGTTAATGTAACTTGGTTTAGCTGCATTTCCAGGTAAATGATCAAACCCAGCACAATTGGCCACCAGTGCACCTACCTGGACAGGTCAGGCTCTGCTATAAGAAACAGGAAAAATTACTTGATTGGACTATAGTTCTAGACAGGTTCAGCACCAAGGAGATGATCAGGAGGACCCAGAGGCTTGTCCCACTTCTGTGCATGACTAGTACAGTTTTTGTTTGTTTGTTTGTTTGCTTTAAATAAGAATCAGCGCTCAGGACAATTCAGACTGCTACCATTACCATCTGGCACAATATTTTCAGCCTACCTTGCTAGAATTATATGCTGTACAGATCTAAGGGAGTTTGTTTTGAGGACCTGAGGGCCAAACTCATTGATACACTTAAGATTTTTGTAGAAGAGGGGCTTCCCCAAAGGCTAAAAGACATCTGTTTGTCATAATACCTGGCCACCCTCAACGATGTATCTTGCATTTAGAGTGATTTGCTTTGTGATTAGTCACTGGAAGATAAATATGGATTTAATTTGCAAGTCTGGTATCTGAAGCACATATCTACCCCGTTTCCCCCAAAATAAGACAGGGTCTTATATTAATTTTTTGCTCCAAAAATGCATTACAGATTATTTTCAGGGGATGTTTTATTTTTATCATGTACAGCCATCTACATTCATTCAAATGCAGACATGTCCTCTTCTGGTTGCTGCCCAATGGTGGAGGGCGGAGTTTCACTTAACTGGGGCTTATTTTTGGAGTAGGCCTTATATTACAAGCATCCTGAAAAATCATACTAGGGCTTATTTTCAGGTTAGGTCTTATTTTCAGGGAAACAGTATCAGGAAACCCTATAATCCGAGGGAAACAGAATCATTAGAGGAAATAAACTTTACTTTTAGTACCTAGTTTTGACCTTAAGAAGCAATGAATGCAAAACCAACCCAACTGTGATGAAGAGAGTGACCCAAGCTTAGGGATTCACAGAGCCTAGAGAAAGCAGTACAGATTTTAAGTATTAATAACTACTTTTGTATTAACAAGAAGACTGGAAACTTTGTGCATCAAAAGAATAAGGTTTCCAAAGCAACATTTCTAGCATTTTAACATAACCTTTATGTTAGGGAGGTGGTGGCGCTGCGGGCTAAACCGCAGAAGCCTGTGCTGCAGGGTCAGAAGACCAAGCACTTGTAAGATCGAATCCACGCAGCGACGGAGTGAGCTCCCATCGCTTGTCCCAGCTCCCGCCAACCTAGCGGTTCGAAAGCATGCAAATGCAAGTAGATAAACAGGGACCACCTCGGTGGGAAGGTAACAGCCTTCCGCGTCTAAGTCGCACTGGCCATGTGACCACGGAAGATTGTCTTTGGACAAATGCTGGCTCTATGGCTTGGAAACGGGGATGAGCACCGCTCCCTAGAGTCGAAATGTGACTGGGCAAAAATTGTTAAGGGGAACCTTTACCTTTACCTTATGTCATTTTTAAGTGAATAGATGCATTTCTCTTGTTTAACAGAAAAGTGATGATTTT